ATGACGCTTCACTACATCAGTGAATAAAAGAATATCCAGGCAATGATTTGGTATCAGTAAGTGATAGTCAGACATAGTTAAGATGACACCAGTACAAGATTATGAAACTGATAATGTCTTTCATCAATAGGTTTACAAAAAAGAAAATCCAATAAAATCAGTAACCACTAGGAAACAGGTTTTTGACAATTATGAGCTGTGACCTCACTGGTACAGGGTTTATTCAAAACCCACTTGGAGAAATGCTCCCTAACAAACCAGTAGTCCCCTAATAAGGCTTGGCTGTGTGTTCCCCAGTAAGTACTGGTTAACTACCCATTAGCTCCTGATACATTCCTGAGGCGTTCCCTAGTAGTTAATCAAATTTTGTGTACTTTATTGTAAAGCGTTACCAATTTTTTTCTACCTGGATTATTGAACATGCATCAGGACATAAAGAAACGGCACACAGCTTTTAAAAAGGGAAGGTGTGGAAGAAGTGAGGATATCTGACTCTCAAATCAAACCTGGAAGATGGTTCTGGCTGTAACGAGTCAGATAACTAAAGGATCAATCACTATGTAGAGTTTACATGTTTTGAGAAGAGGCCATTTAGAGTTCATGGCCAGAAGTTGAACTGTCTCTTGATTTTCAGTATTTAGGTCCATCTTTGAGAGATGCTTTTTTTTTTTTTTTTAAACCATTTACCTTTTTTTCTTCCATCATTTACGTTCTGATAAAAGTGTGACTTAAGATTCTTTGTTTGTTTAAAAACCCTCAGTTGAAAAAAAACCTTGGCAATGTCTCCATATATCTTGAAGGACAATTCTGACTTTTGAGGCAAACTGCTCAGTAAACATCCTGAAGGTGTAGAGCTTCAGTCTGAGCAGCCTGCTTAGAGCCCTCTTGGTGGCACGGTTGTCCTGCGTCACCAGACAACCAACCAACAGGAGTGGAGGGTGGAGTTGGGGTTGCTTTGTGCTGTCATTTTGCGTGTTTGTCTGCGTCACACACAACGTCATCTTCTCATGTGAGTCTTCAGTTTAGGATTGGGGCAAAAGAAAGAGGACTTTTTTTCATAAAGGTAGTTTAATATCTTTTTTCAGCTTTGTGTCAGACTTTAAGTAAAAAAAAAAATAAAAATCTGCGCTGCTATCAGGACCACCTGTACAAAACACACACAGTGTGTTACTGTATAGATATCAGAAACAAAACTCCTGGAGCTGGCAGCAAACTTCCATTTATCATCTTTTGATATTTTATCTCTGGTGAGGATGTATTTGAGGATACCTGGGGGGGGGGGGGGGGGGGGGTGCTGCACAAATCAAAAGAACACTCCGTAATCGCCTTGTGTTCAGGAAAATAAACCCCACATATTTTCTATTTACACAGAAGACAATGCATCACTTCTGGCTTTGTGGTTCTGCTATAGGATACCTTTTGTACTGTAAATATGCTGCTTGTGAGCAGCCATTTTGTTTTTCTCCATTCATGGCAAATCATGTCTTTGGCTGTGAGACATCACCACCCACCCCCACTACATTATTATAGCATTTTTGTCTATTTTTGCCCAAATACACTCAGAAGGGGGTTAAGGTTTTCTGCATGGGGTTGCTGAATCCCCCTAGAATGCATCATGCTCCTCCTTTTCTGTGCTTTCAAGCCTGCAACATTATTATCCTGCAGCCTGCAGTAAGTTCTTATCAGTGACAACCAGATGGTGAGCACACGAGCAATGCCTCGAGACTTGTTGATCGAGCAGCGCTAGCAAAAAAAAAAAAAAGGCTGTAATTGCTAGGAGATTGTGTGATTTGAGATTAGCATTGTTGCTTTTTATAACCTTATAATTGCAGTAGGAAAGAATACTCCCTGGCTGGATTGGAAAGACACTTTATTGGGAGGAAAACATGACAGAAGAAGACCTGATACGGCAGTTTAAAAAAAAAAAACACACTCATGTTTGGTGTAAAACTCATAACAATGTACTGTTAACCTATAAAAATTCATTTGGCAAAATGTGATGAAATACAACACTGTCCTCTAGTGCCTCCAAACACAACCTGGTGGATCACATGCTAACACCACCCTGCTGCCACACAGCAGAAATATTCAGTAAATGATCAGGCGAAGCTTGAAGACGGAGTTTATGACTGTTTGGTGACAAAGACAACTTTTGATTACACCGCTAACATTTAAAAACTGAACAAAAACAGACACGTGGCCGTCGTTTGGTTAAACTAAAGAGTCAGTTTAGATCTACTGAAGTGGAGTTCTGTGGAAAAGTTTAAGATATACCGGTCATTTCAATCCCTTTGGAAAAGTCACCTTTTTATATCTGCTTTTGATTCAAATTCAATCTCATCATGTCTTTAATGTTATGGTTTTGCCTTGTTTTTAGCATATTTTAAAGTATATATA